CGTAATTGCAAAATCACCAAATCCTCTTAAAAGCGTAACCGCAACTAACCACATACTTTACTTAGCATAAATCGGCACTTTAATATTTATTCCCTAATATCCCCGTCGCTATAGTAAAACCGTTATACCGGACTCATAAGAGGTCACCGTCGGTGAACCTATGACGTTTCTCATGAACACCATCATTTCTGCCATTAAGTCTAACTATTTTCTCAGGGGCCAAGGGGGGTTTTTGCTTGCCATGAAAGGCGACGACGGCTTTAAGAGACAGTGTAACTTAAAGTTAGACGAGGAACGCTACGAAAAGGTCTCTCAATATACCGCTTTGAAAATATCTCTCAATGCGCTGAGTTTTGTGGTTACGTCATCACAGACTCGATGTTCGTCGATTAAGGTTCATAAATTTTATCGCACAATTTTAAGGACTACCATCATTTCACAAAATACCAACAATCTTTACGCGATTACGTAAAAGATTTTGAAGATGATACCTTTGTCGAGGCTTACATAGACGCAAACGTAAAGATGTATAAAAAAAAGCCAAGGTTACTAGGGAAAAAATAACGGCTATGTACGAGTTTATCAAAAGTATGTCGCATTTTTTTTTTTTTTTTTAAGCGACACTCAATGTTCTTGTAAGCTTTTTACTAATTGTTCCAAGTCATACAATAGTTCTATCCGGTTCAGCTCACTTCACCGACACTTATTTCGTAGACATAACATGTCACCGACAACAATTCACCGACATTTATTTTCCATTTCACCGACAGTTTAATTCACCGAAACTCATTTCACCGACAAAATAATTCTGGTCATTGCCGTTAGGGTCAGACTAGAATTAAAGTTAAGGTTAGTGGAATTTATAAAAAAAAATTGTCTATGAAATGAGCTTCGGTGAAATAAACTGTCGGTGAAATAAACTTGTCGGCGAAATAATTGTCGGTGAAATAAACATGTTGGTGAATTTTTGTCGGTGAAATGTTTTGTCTACGAAATGAGTGTCGGTGAAGTGATACGTATCCCTATCCGGTTCTATCAGATCTTTTTATAAAACCCAACCAAATCTGTCTAGTTAGCTATATATTCCCCGCATCTTTCATACTTCAGCTAATGTACTCCCAAACAGGTACTGGGGTTACCCAAGGCTTCGTAATCTTTTTTTTCAAGATATATTCCCTTATTTTTGGTGACAGGGTGGACTCTAGCATTCTAATGCTACAAGTTCTGCACAAATCTTTCACTTGACTAGCTGTTAGGCCCTCAACTCCTCAACTTCCAGACTTCAGTTCCAACCCTTAGCATAATATCATTTCTGTATGTAGTGTTACTATCCTATTGGAAACTTCTGTGTGTTAATGAGGTATAGGTTGTATTGTGTAATAGTAGTTACTTCTAATTAGATTTGTCATACTTGATTATTTTTAGTTTTTGTCAGAATTGGTTGGTGTTTAATGTTGGTGTACTTTTACAATGCTATTTGTATCTTATTTATATCTTGAAATACTACCAGCCTCTAGTTATTTTCAAATTTTTATACATCTTTAGTTTAATGATCTCTATAATTGTTAATCTTTTATTTTTAGTTTTTGTATTATATAGATATCAGAGATACTTTTAAATTTGTTAAGGTTAATTTTTTGTTACAAATTGTTTTTATGTTTACAATTCTCTTACTACACCAGTTTTAGTTTTAGTTACCATTATATTACTTTTCTAAGCAATCTTGTATTAGAAATTTCTGTTTAAAATTTATATACATGATCTAGTAATTATCTTTTCAAGCAAGTATTTTACAAATTGGGTGTAAAGATATTGGTATTGTCTAAATTAGTAATATAAGAATATTGGTATTATCTTCTTTTTATTTAAAAATTTATTTATATAATTTTTATATAACTTGAACCTTCTGTAATATTATTATTATATGTAGTATTTGTATTCTATAATTAATTTTTTCTAAAAATTTTTATTTTAAATTCATACTTGTATTTGAATTTTTTATAAAGCTTTAGATCTAATTATAATTCTATATAGATTATAAAAACAAATTTAAAAATTTGTTACCAGCTTGACTCAAACTATTGATCTTGTTTGTAAAGTTTAAAATCTTAATTAATAAACTATAAGACCTAAACCTATATTTTATATTTATAAATAATAGTTTTATAAAATATTTAATAAGATTTATATTGGACTTTTTTACAAGCAGACAAACAGACAACTATTTATTGTAATAGATTAAAATGAAAATTTATTAGAAGATATTTTTGAAAGTTTCTTTAGTATTAGAAATTAGATTTAAAGTTAAAATTATTAATATAAGCTTTAAGGATAAGTATAAGAGGTTCTTAATTTTATTTTACTCTAATTTTATTTTAATCTGTAACACTTATTAATAGTTTTAAAAATAAACTCATTATTTTTTTGTTAACACTAGTCTCTTTGGATTAAGGTTTTTATTCAAATTAATTGAGCAAAAGGTTTTCAAAAGAACCTCTATATTAGAGAATACATACTAGCTACTTGTATATTTTTGGTATTTATTTTAAGTAGTCTGTCTATAATTTATATTATAAATTTTATACTAGATACCATATCTGTAATCCAACTATGAGTATTATCTATTTAAATTTTCTGTAATGCAATTCAGCTTGTATCACTAGTATATTTCTGTTACAATTATTAGTTAAAAAGTTTTAGATACTTTTTCTATTCTCTTAGAACTAATTTATTCTTGAGGCATCATTATTAGAGCTTTCTATATCTATAATTTAGCTAACTTAGACTTTAGTAACTTATGTCCAAGTTTAAAAATAAGTACTTGCAAGCTGAAGCTACTACTATTATCTATTTCTACTCTTGTAAAATTTATCTAAGCTCTAAAATACACTTTACAGACTATCAACTATACTTTTAACTATGGTCTGAAAGAGCTGTAATCTGCTTCTGGTTTTCATAGTTGGGTTTTTTTTCTTTAGTACTTCTCTGGCAGCCTGATTAATAGAATATCTTGCCAAACACTTTAGTTCTATTAAATTTTTGAGAATAAACTTATTGTTTAAAAATATTAATATATATTATTATATAAAGAGTATATATAGACTAGATTCCAAGAAAAAAAAATAAAATTAATAACAAAAGATCTTTAAAACATTAATTTTTATATTATAAATTTTATAATAAATTATAAAAAGAAATTTAATACTCATATCCGAAGAGTATAATACCTGGTATAATGTTTATATAGTATTTTATAAAAATATTAAAGTTAGGTTAAATTTAAAAACATATATAATTATATATAAAATTAGATGCTGAACAATTTTACTTAAGATATCTACATATGGTTTTCTTAGTAAAATTTTGAGATATTACTAATTTTTAATTTTTTTCTTATATTGAATATCATACCTACCAGGTACAAATAGAAATTCTCTTATAAAAATATATACTGCAAAAATTTTATTAATAAAATTACTTTTGTATTTTAAGTAAAAAATAATCTTAATCTTATTTTAAATTGATATATACAGTCGGACCTCTCTAAATGCAACCTCTATAAATGCAATACCTATCTAAATGCATATTTTTGTCTTGGCTGTATGAAATTATTAATGCTAAATGCATATTCTATATTTTGCAAATGCACGTTCACTCAAAAGATTTTTTATATCATACTAACCTCCCTAAATGCACGTAGCCAATCAGAAGTCAGTA